GACTGGTGCAACCACTGTGGAAATCAGTATGGAGATACCTCAAAGAACTAGGACTGGAAGTCCCATTTCACCCAGCTATTTCTCTGCTGGATATCTTCCCCAAAGAATTAAAAGAATCATACCACAGTGATATATGTGCACCCATGTTCATAGTAGCACAATTTGTGATAGCTAAAACTGGGAAACAGCCCAATTGCCCATCAATTGGAGACTGGATAAAGAAAATGTGGTTTTTTAACGAAATGGAATATTAGCCATAAAGAATGAGAAACTAAAGAAATTTATAGCTAAATTGATGAATATTGTGGCTATACTCTTAAGTGAAATAAATAGGACACGTGTAAATGCCAAATAGTTTCTCTAGTGTAAGAAACTGAAAGTGTAAATAAGGACTAAAAGGTATAAAAGATAATGTGAAATAGGAAGAAAAGGTGCAAAGGGGAAGGTGAAATAGGAAGTGTACGGGAAAAGAAAGAAGGGAATGGAATTAATATGAGAAAAAGAAATGGAAACAAAGTCTTTGTAGATAGGGAGGGGTGGAGGGATTGAAGGAAGGGTAGGGGAATGAGGAAAAAATAAGAACCAAGATGGATTATGTAATGGTGCAAATTTCCAATGACGAATGTCATTATATTGTATACCTTAAATGTACTAATATAATAATAAAAAAAACTTTCTGGTTTACGTCTTGTGCTGTGAGTAACTACTTTGAAGATAACAATACACAGTGTATTAACTAATGTTATTTTCTTATTATTTTGTTATAAAATTTTATTTTTTTATAAAATGAAAAAGTTAAAAAAAAAAGAACCTTCTTACACAACAGCAATAAGTGCTCTTGATTCTTACAAATCTATCCTTTCAGGACAAGGGGCTAATTTTTCTTACTATTTTAAGGAAATACTTTCAACGTAATCATTTGTGATCCCACCCTCTTTCCTAAGTGTTTGATTTTTCCCTAAATAATTGCAATATGTAAAGCACATGGACATGCTAAAGATCGTGGTTGGATTCATGGCCAATCCAGGCTTTGATGTCTTCAGTTGGTGAGAAAAATACATTTAAAAAGACATCTATTAATATTACATACAAATGCTTCAACAAAAAATAGATTTGACCCACAAACTAAGTGATAAATGAATTGAAATAGTGTCATTTGTGTTTGTTATTTATGAATATTAAAAGGGGTATTTTTAGCTTATTGAGAAACTATGATAAAGAAAATAAAATCCAGAAATTCAATCAAATGTATTTTATTTAAATATTACCATTGTATATCTCTCTTACAAATTACAACCCTCACAAGAATACTCTGGCCTCTCTTCACTCTTAATCACTTCTAGTAATGATCTGAAAACATCATTCATGTGATATATGTTATATATAATACATACAGATAACATTTACAGACAAGTATATAAACTTATACATGTACATGTGTGTATATGGATTGTATATACACATTATTTCTGATAACAAGTAATGATTATTTTCCAGCATCATAAAGCAGAGAGGCTGAGCAGTCTATTCAGCCTGCTGAAGAAAGAGTTTTAATCTCATGAATGTCCAGATGTATTTGTAACCCAAATGCCTATCATCCCACTGGCTTTTCCATTTACACCCTGGGCATATCTCCAAAAAGTGCATTTACTACATTTTATTGAAATTATGTATCTTCTTCCTCTCTAGACCATAAGCATTTCAAAAGCAAAGAATACGCTACTCATTTTGATCCTTGGTATCTAGTATCGTTTTGCTCAAAAGTTAGGGCCAATATAGGTTGAAGATATAAACTACTATGCTAACAAAATAAATCTATCTCAACAAGATGCACTCTTCTGAAACAACACTGTAGTAATTTCTTCCATCTTACGGAGACTATGTAAGAACATCCCTATAAATACAATATATTGTATTACAAAGAAAATATGTTAAGGGTAAAGTCCATCTAAAATCTAACTGCATAATATAAGAGCTCAAACCTGTACTAAGAGGCCCAATGAAATTCTGTTCTGAGTCACAAGTGCTTTATTTATTGTGTTAGCTCAATGACTCTACACCAAAAGATTCATTCAACATAGTGGCTCAGCCACAAACCAGAAGAGGAATGGAGGTTAAGTGCCCCAGTAACCTCGCTGGATCTCAGTGATATCTTTTTACTGTCTACCAATCAATCAGAAAGGTTAGTCATTCTCTAGGAGCCTTTCTGATTTCAGAATTTTATTGAATTTATAAAGTACAATAGGTATATTTAAAATGGACCAGCTCTATTGCAAGTAGGAGAAGTCACCTTGGTACAATCATAATATATATACATCCTTCCTCAAAGGTGATGTATTAAGACTAAATTTAGGACTTTATTCCCTTCTCTAGCCATTCCCAACTCTGTTCTCACTCCTATTTCCCTGAGGAATTCTAACACTTAATGAAAGACGATGACATTTGATTTACAAGGTACACACCTCTGAGCATCCTCCGAGATTCCGAGTCTTTGGTCATGGTTGCCAGGGAGTGAGGAAGCACACTGCCACAGCTGTTGCTCTGTCCCAGAGGCAAGTGACCCTGTGAGAACCAGGAGGGAACACTTCAGGCACACTGTACACTAAATGGGCCTTCAGGCAATGCCCACACCCCTGTTTCCAAAGCCCTGTCTAAGTGTAGAAAGAGATAAGATAGTTCTCTGTGTCCCATTTGGTGATGCTAAACGGTAAAGACCAATCACTGTCCTTCCCACAACATGGCAGTCTCAAGATCATAGAACATCTTCCAAGGACAGCAGTTTCAAAAGTGGAGGCAGTTGGGGAAGATGCTGACTGCAATCACCTGAAAGACTGAAAGTTCTTCATGCACCACAAGGAGCAGAGGGCGGATGCAGGGACAGAAGTGCATGCACACCATGCAGGACAGGGAAGATCTATACTTGTTCCATCCACCCCACTCACACAGTGGGCTGCAAACAGGGGAAACTTATTAATACCCCAGTGGTTTTAGCATTCTTTTTATATGGAAAAATCTTTCATGTAAACAAAATATACTTAAAACACCAATTTGTATAATAGATTAAAATAAAATTACTCTGATTAAGGACAAGAGAAGGACCCAAAGTTTGTCCAATAAAGAATCTCCTTCTCACTTGGCTCTTCCTCTGCTCCGGCTGTGAACCCTGGGGTAAGTCAGTGAACTTGAGGGAGGTACATGTGTCAGATAGCAGGGGTTTGCATGCCATCTCCCCAGTACTAGCTGAGGGCTCCTGAGTCAGTCACTTAGCTACATTACACCTCACCTTATCCATATGTACAATCAAGACAGTAATCAGTAAGAAATTCCACTGCACAGTATGGCCGGATTTTGAAAGAAGGAAGTTCAGACACAGTGCTAACACATTCCAGGCATGTAGAAGTGACCCATAAATATTTGGTCCTGTTATTCCTATAACTCTGCATCTATACCCCATTTATTTCTAAATATCAAATGCAGCCTTGGGAGTCTATCATGTTAGTGAAGGTCAGTTCACTACCTTTTATCATAGTGTTAGGAAATACCTTTGGCCCCAGAAGATGTAATTCCAAATATTCTTTGAACAAGATAGAAGAGGCAATTTAATGATGATGACTGCCAAACAAGCAAATGTAATGGTTTACAATTTAGTGTTTTTTCCGAAAGGCTGTTGCATGTTGGGGAACACAAGGAAAAGACTCACAGGAAGTGAGGTCTGTGGCTCTTCCGAGTCCTACCTTTGGGGCGGTGCTTCTCCCCAGTGTGGCACTGCTGAAATGTGGGGAGATGGAAGGTGTGGTTTTCTTTCGAGGCAAAGTGTCACTCAGATAGAGGCCTTCTTTATTCTGTTTTTTCCTTTCTTCCAGACTTCTAAAGTGCTTTAAATGCAAATGTAAAGCAAAATAGCAAAACTTGACTGACTGAAACAGATCGCTGAAGAAATGAAAAATTATGCACTTATAAAGAAGTTTTGGAATTTTAACACGGATTTTTAAAAAAATTATTAAATTTATCCTTGTGTTCAAAAGGTTTAGATTAACATTTGATGTTACTAAACACTGGAAGAATTTATTTCTGAACCTACAATATTTTTAAAAATTCACCTCTCACTTCTATAGTGCCTGCTGCCCTGGGGCCTCAGGATAACTTACAAATTATTATAATGGTCACATATGGATGGCAGAACAGCCAGTGGCCAAAGCCATTTTGCCTCTAGTCTATCTGGACAGTTCTGTGTAATGGCACAGAGCCCAGTGTGAGGAGAACTAGGGAAAAGGGGCAGGTGAAGAAGGGAAGGCCAAGTAAACAAAGAAATTGTTCAATAATAGTAATGATACTTCACCAAATGAACATTCCTAATCTATATGAAGTTTCCATAGAAGGGATCCTTCTAGGTTACCTTTGCACTTAAAAAGATCTTGGACAAAGAGATCTTATAATAATAGCTCATATTTAAAAATCCTCTAGTTGATTATTTTTTTCAGATTTCTAAGGCAAGATCTTTGCCACCTTGAAACTTATACAAATTTTCTTTGGTCTCTTTCCTCCAAATATCTTCAATAGCACAGTAATTTCCTAATTAAATGTTCTTTAGGTTTGATCATTTTAATATTAAGCTCAAGATACTGAAATACATACAAATTAAAGCATGGCAATTATGACAAATATCTACATTGTAAGTTTACATTGATCTATTTACACTAGCTAATATTTATTGAGAGATTACTATATGTCAGGTTTCATGCTCTAACTACATTATCTCATTCCATTTTATAATAAATCTCTGAGGTTAATCGTTATTTTACAAATGGAGAACCTGGGATACAGAGAGGTTAAATAAACTTGCCCAAGGTCATGTAGCTAGAAAGTGAAATAGCTGGAATTCATGGCCAGGCATCCACATTACAATAATAAATCCTCACAATTTGGTTGATTAATGGCCATTTTAGATAGAAAAATGATATCAGACCATGGCAGTCTTATCCCTACTATTACCAATTGTCACAAATTCTGAAATCAAATCTTCCCAATATTGCACATTGGTAGCTTAATAAAATAGGAAAGAAACCTCATCGAAAATAGCTTAAGTGATATTTGGCAGAAAACAGCAGGGCTCTTCTATTAGCCCAAAGATGTCTTTTACCCTCAATGAAGGTGTTATCAAGAGAAACATAACATCAAAAGTGAAGCTGTTTAGTCCTTCTGTTCTCCTAGTTATTCTCTTGTAGACATCACTTATTGGAGCCACTGTTCCCATCAATTTCCTTTTATATCAGTCCAGGTAGCTGTAACTTGAAGACAGTGATGAGATGCAGTCTTTTAACAAATGCTAGTAGTGAAGGTATCTTCAAGAAATGGGAAGGGAAGGTTGGTCATAAGAAAGCAGGACTTGAATTCTTTGAGGATCTAGTGACCATATAAGTTGAAAGAGAGTTCTGAAACAGTTTTTTTTTTTGAATATACAAGCACTAATATATACTTAAGTGTATGAAAAAGAATGCATTGGAATAATAAATTATTTAAAAATTTGGTCAATAAAAATTGTTTTTCTATACCTAATGTGCAATTTGTGATGTGACCTTGGACAAGCTACTTAACTAAGGTTAGCCTCAGTTCCTTAAACTTCTAGATGAAGATAATTTTTTTCACAGGATTGTTAGAAGAAAGAAGAGAAATATTTGCTTGGCAAATTCTGACATCTCAAGGGAATGATAGTTATTATGGTTTCAGTAATGTACAATAAAAATATTTCATGTTGACACACAAGTTTTTACATTATGGATTTTATGGAAATACTTACTAGCATATGGAGAAAACCTGAGATGAACTGTAATCTTTTGAAATGGGAACTGAAGTGTAAAGATGTAAAATTTCCTTGAACATACCAAAAGTCAGCTGAGGACAATCAAGCTCTTGAAACTTTCTAACAATTCAGCCACCCTTGGAACATACTAAATGTCTTTACGGAAAGCAAAACAAAACAACAACAAAAAAAGGAGTATGCAACTTATTATTTTTTTTTTTTTTTTGGTACCAGGGATCTAACTCAGGACTTGTGCTTGCCAGGCAGGCGCGGTGTCGCTGAGGTAAATCCCCAGCCCATTTATCTTTTAAAAATATCACCTTTGAAAAAGTTGAAGAGACTCTACATGAGTGATTGTGTTACCAAGGTAAAATAAAACTTCCACACTCTGAACACCAGTCCCTAATTACCTGTTGCTCCTGCTGCTGTTGCCTTCTGTGTTTCTTAGCTGGTAGAGGAGGAGGTGTGTCATTTAGAGGGAAAGAATCGACAGATGTAGCCATGACTTCCGGCCAAGGGGCTGATGAAGGTTGAGTGACAGGATGAAGAGAAAGGGTGGAAGGAAACATAAATCCAGAACAGACAGGTGATCTTTGCTTTACAGGAGAAAGAAAAGGTATATGTGTCCATATGAAATGAAAGGATAAGACAAAGACATGAAATCGATAATCTGTTCATTCTGTTTTGTTATATGCTAGTCAGGAAATCACAAATGACACATAATATCTTTCAATGTAGGCGCTTGTTAAATCCCACAGTGCAATCAACTTAGATGACTACAAAATATTTTAATTTATTATTATTGGCCACTCCCAACCACACTTTTAAGGGGTTTATCATTAAAAAAAAACTAGATTGAAAAACAAAATAGAAAACAAAAATCAAACTGGAAAGATGATTCAAATCAGAAGTTTTAGACTGGTTTTTGAATTTCTAAGAAAACTAGATCTAGGTTAGAATATTAAGGTGTTTTACTTATCTATCTGAAGTTACTTGTCTTAGTCCTGCACTTTGTAACATATATTTCATGGTTTTTAACATTTTAAATGATGAACCCCCAACTCGTTATGTTTTATAAACTTGGCATCCCTCAGGCAATCGGGCAAAACCGACATCTACCCGTCACACACATTTTTGTTTCACTCGTCTCTCATTAACCATGGGTTAATTCTGACATGAGCAACAGCAGTGAATGAATGAATGAAATGTTGTGCCCACACACCTCTGGACTCTGTGGCTGGCTCACCGGCACAGCTGAGGCAGGCTCAGTGACAGCAGCGTCAGCATCAGCAGGGAACTGAGTGGAAGGGGAGAGATTCGTGGAATGGCCACATGGCTCATTAAATTCATTTACACTGAGATAGCCCTAAAAGGAGGAATTCAGAAGTTAGACATAAAGAAAGCAAAAGCAGAGGCATGCGAGGGTATTAATATTCCCAGTACAATGGAGTTAGCTGAGAGCAGCACAGCCAGATATCTGGGTATTATCAAATGTTTCATTAAGAGGATAATCAGAAATTAAAATGGATTCATGGTGCTTAATCTTGAAAAATGGCATTCTAAACATTAAACATAATTCTAGTGAAATCAAGATGATTCTATTATAAACAACGCTACACCTTCGATCTTAAAGTATCCAGAGGTAAATCAGCATTCATTCTGTGGATGAAATGAGTTTGTCACTATACATACACTGAAAAGAACCACGCAAAAAAAAATCCTGGAAACAAAACTTACAGACAATGCAATCACTCACTCCCTAATTCAAGGACCTTTTCCACAAATCGTCTCTGAGATTTTCCCCTCTTCTGTTTCTTGATGAATTAGTCTGTCAGCAGAAACGAGCTGAAGGCTACTGGATTTTGCATTAAGAAATATTTATAAAACTATAATTTATTTATAATTTACAAAACTGTAACTTATAAATTTTATAATTTATAAAACTATAATTTATTTCTAATGGAATTTAGCTTTGGGGTATGTCAACTGAATGCAAATAAAAAGCACACTGTCTTCTCATTCAGGTGAGTGCAGGTGCACGCACCCACACATACACACACACCCCGAAGGTAAACTTGCAACTGGATGGTGTTTCAATTCAGTTTTCACCAACCTCCAACTCTACCCCATGACACAGAATTTCCAGTTACTTTTGAACACAGTAATTCAGTTCTGGTTTCAGCTTAGAGAAAATACCCATAAGTCAAAATCTCTGAGAATTAAAATTCCTGAATTTATATTTGTGGAAGAGGTACTTGTAAATTTTCATGCAAAGCATTTCCACAGACCAATCATGATTTTTTTGCCATACTAATAAATCAATATGAAAAAGAATAAAGTACATAAAATAAGCCTCTCTTTTAAAAGTAAAATGGAATTAAATTTGACAGTTGAGTTCTTTTCATTAGCCTATCAATGTTTCCAAAAAGTGACCATAGAAAAGGCAAGATACCATGATGTGATGTTGTTAAGGAAAAACCTCTAGGCTGGAAATCAGTTTTTATTGAGAACTTTTATGACAAAGTGAAGAAAGCTGGAGTTGACTGCTTATCAACAGGATGTATCAAAGTCTTGTACTTCCGAAAGGGCCATAAATATTACATGACGTTTTATACGGTTAAGCCAAAGAAAGGAAACAATTAACTAGATTGTCAAATTTCATTTTATATGTGATAATGAATCAGAAAGAAAATTAGCAACTTTGGATTATTCTTTTGCTCAGTTGATAGACTGTTTCAAAGCCAAGGATTGAGATTCCTTAAATGGTTATAGATCATACAACTTAATTGCTTCAAAAGTGTGTGCTGTCAAAGTGGGAGTAAAGAGTAAGGTTATAAATTCACCACTCCCCAAAAAACTAAGAGAGAGAGAATAAAAGAGAAAGCAAAGACAGGAAACCAAAATCAAAACACCTTAATGAATCAAATTTTCTTGGTCTATGAAAGGGAAAAGATAGGTACTTAAACAACACAAATGGTGCAGATACACAGTAATCAAAAAGCCAAATGTGCTTTTGACACTAAAAGCTTGCAAGGGAAAAAAAGACTAATTGATTAATAGAAAATGAAAGATTTTATTTTTCTGTCAGGAGATAAGGATGGAGCGACCTTAGAGACCACCCAATTCATTTGGGTGCCACAAGCCCTTCAAATTCTGGGTGTCCAGGGTCAAAATCCAAATCTTTCCTTTAAACTTACTCTTTTCCCTATCTTCTCTATCTCAATAAAAGACACTGTCAGCCTTATTATTTAAACTGGAATAATGGCATCATTCTTTATTTACTTTACCACCACAACCAGCCTCTCAGCAAGAAGTTTCAATTTTACCAATAAAATACACTTATAGTAATCCAACTAATTTTCTCTACCTCTCTGTCATTGCTCTTATTTAAGCCCCAGGAGCTCCAGCCTGCACTGCTGCTATCACCTTCATATTCCCCCTACATCTACATCTTCTAACCCAATAATCATTGAGCCCAGTGATCTTAACAAATGGTCTCAAATAATGTCACCTCCCCACTTATAGCCAGTTAATGGCTTCCCACCACACATAAGATAAACTGCATTTCACGACTATGACTTACGAGGCAGCCCCTCCCTGACCCCCTACCACACTCCCTTCACAGCCATTCTTTGTTCACTGACCCTGCCAGTCCTATGCTCTGAATGATGAAGACAAACTACAAAACCGAATGATTTAACAAAGCTATTGTAGAAATACTTCTTAAAAAATGCTTTTGAGGCATACAAGCAGTCACACCTATAATTGTAATAGCATTTTATTTTCTACACACACACACACACAACACACACACACGAACACGCACAATTTTCTTTGTAAAACTTCCCAACTCTGCTATTTTTTTTAATAAACAACTTATAAATAAAAGCAGTTCTTTTGGTTAGGCAAATTTTTATGTAATGCAAGCTTTTCCCTCAGCCAATAAATGTAAGAAAATATAAAGAACACAATTTTCTTTCTCAGTCAGCATTATAATTTTCCAAATCAGTGAAACCTGGCAAAGGTATATTTTGGAAAGAGTGGTATTGGGGACCAGAGAAGGATGGATAGAGTATATACAGCTGAATGTAAGTAGGAGTTCCCAATTAGAGGAGAAAGTTCCAGAAATAACAATGGGAAGAGAAACAGAGAGAAGAAACACATTAGATTATCTTCTCAAATGTTTGAGGGCCTTTTCCTGTTCCCTAAGACTCAGGAGAAAGAGGAGTAAAATAAAAGAGAAGGGGTGATAAAGGAGGTTGCAGGAAGGAAAGTAGAGAATGTAAAGCTCATCTTGATCTAGATGCCAGAAGATTCTAAATGCTTTTGAAACTCCAAGATACCTTACGGTCTCTGCCAAAAAAAGTAAAACACACACACACACACAGAACACACATATACATTAGACACAAAGATTATTCCTGAAATCCTCAAAGTATACAATAATGAAAGGCAAGAAAGCCATCAAAGCACTGAGCACCTTCATGAGCCATTTAAGCCATTCTTTTTACTATTCAACTAATCACATAAAATGGGGGTACATCGCCTTATTGCTAAGGACACATACAAAAAACCACAGCTTACCTCCTTTAAAGTATTAGGGTTAACAGGAAACCCTTTCCCCCCTGAGAGGCTGGAGTATTTCTTTTCCAGATTACAAAGATTCTCCTTTTCCTGAGGAAACACAACATCTGTTAAGCTTGGAGTTCACCTTGGATAACACTGAGAAGCACAGCGACTTCGCATTACAGACAAACATTAAAACCCCACACACCTGCCCTATTTCTGCTTCCTCTCCTCATATTCAGTCAACACTTCACATTGTAAATATCTCACCTTCTGCTAGCTGACATGATCCATGAGTTGTTTTCAACATATTTAGCTATATAACCTTTCATGTGTTTAAAAATTGAAAAAAAACCCGAAGTTCTAGATGAAGCAAGAATAGGAGGCACATTCTGAGTCTTTCACAAGCCTTATCTTTCACATGTTTTCTAAAGTAAATTTTTTATCCTTTTAAGAAACACATAATCATGTGTCTTCTGCTGATGTAATGTCACAGTCCAATAATATATTTTCTTCTGGAACTTTTGTGGTAGAAACGTTATGATCTCAAAACTGTGGGCCTATGATCCATCTTTAGTTAATCCAGTGTTAAGCAACCTTCAGGAAAAATATTTATGGGTCACAGTCTTTATTTATTGTAGTATAATCTATATACAGAGCAATGCACAGATCTTAAGTATATAATTTCATGACTTAACAAGTGGAACAACATTCCAACCAATATAAAGACCATTTTTATCACCCCAGAAGTTTTCTCATGACACCTTCCAATTAAAACTCCATCCCAGTGGGCAAGCCTTGTTCTGATTTCTAAAGCTGTACATAGGTGGAATCATACAATATGCACTCTTTTGAGTAGCCTTCTTCTACTCCATAATATTACATGCATCTATAGTTCACTCTGTTTTATTGTTGAAAAGTATTATATTATATATGTATACCCGACATTTTGTTTATCCATGCACCCACTGGTAAATATTTTGGTTGTTTCTAGGGGTTTTTTTGGGGGGGTGAATTATAAAAAAAAAAAACTACTGGGGCTGGGGATTTAGCTCAGTGGTTCTGCCACCTGCTTCACAAGCGCAAGGACCCGAGTTTGACTCTTGGCACCAAAAAAAAAACTACTTTAAACAGTCTCATACATGGTTTTAATGAAGAGATATTCTTCCTTTCCCCTGTGTAAATGTCCAGGAGTAAAACTGCTGGGTCATAGGATGAATGTATGTTTAAAGCTATAAAATAAACTACCAAGGAGTTCTCTGAAGGGGTTGTACATTTTACTCACATCAGCAGTCCATATAAGTTCCAGTTCCTTGACTTCCTTGCTGACATTTGCAAACTTTACTTTTAAACTTTTGTCGGTTTAGGTGGGGTGAGATGAATCATATGATTGCTTTAATTTATACTTCCTTGATGACCAATGATGAGTATTTCTCCATGTGACTTATTGGCCCTTCATATATCTTCTTTTGTAACATGACTGTTCAAGACTTTTGCTGGCTTTTTAAAAGTTTACTTTTATGTCAAAAAAAAAAATCAATAGTATACATATGGCCTATTTCTGGATTCTCAGTTCCATTCCATTGATCTATGTTTATTTTTATACCAGCACCCCACTGTCTTGATAGTATAACTACCAGCTTGGTAGTATAACTTCAAGTGAGATAATAACATCTTCTAACTTTGTTCTTCTTGTATAAAGTTATTTTGGTTAGTCTAGGTTCTTTGTATTTTCATATATAGTAGATATTTGTTCTTGTCATAGTTTTTATAATGCTATCACAAACTCTGGACCACTGTTCCTAGAGGACATTAAAAAATGTGTTCCTTGTGAGCCTCTGGTCATAACATTTTTGTCAACTAATCCATACATATACAATGGACCCTTGACTTTCAAATTCAATCGGTTCCCGAGGGCTGGTTGTAACTAAGTCGATACAGCTGAGATGTACATGTTTACCTGGGTACATGCTATAGATAACAAGAGGCAGATGAATCTTCCATTAACCTACATTAACCTAATTAACCCAAGTTGTTCATATGTCAGGCCGGTTGTAACTTGAGGGTCCACTGTACAACTCTGTTTTATGTGTCTGCCCCTGCCCCAAATCAACTCTTACCCTCTGCTCTCTCTGTGGTATGGAGGGCTGAACCTAGGGAGTGCAGAGTTACATCCTCAGCCCTTTTTATTCTTTTGAGACAGGCTCTCACTAAGTTGCCCAGGCTGTCCTAGAACTCAGCACCCTCCTGACTCACCCTCCCAAATAGCTGGGATTACAGGCATGCACTACCTTGCCTGTCATGTGTGTTTCTGCTGAAGACCCATGCCTAAGTAAAGCTTATTTACAACACACATTCCCTCCATTAAGACACATCATAGTCTTCTTAGACTTGGGGACACTACGTGGCACTTAGTATTATGCTTGGGAGCCATTTTAAACAGCAAAATCACTAAAAACAGCACAAAAATGTGAAGACATGCCCTTAAATAGTCTCTAAGAAGGACGATTGTTTCCAAGATGAGAACTAAGGCAAGAAGGCAGGGTGTTGCCCTGTTCAACCTCAGGTAGGAATGTGTATTTTGGGTGATTCATAATTTTCACTGCTCTGTGAATCACTGCAAAAGCACCAAAAGTATTGATTTTGGGGATGCAAATACATTTTGACAAGTAGGTAAAAGCCAAATTATGGAATCCATGAATAATAAGGAACAATTATAAATTTTGCATCAACTTGTCAATTTCTACAAAGGAAAAGTCTGTTGATATTTGGAGATTGAAAATAAGGGGGAAACAAAATCTCAATGAGAATGGACCGTAATTTTTAAAATCAAATTATATTTTGTATATATTTTAATGAGTAAATATAATATCTGCAATTATCTTTATTTGTAAAACTTTACCATTTAAGGGATTTTTTTTCTTTTTCTTAAAATTTTAACAACTACTAAATTACATACACTTTTATTTAAGCTGTGCCTTTGAATATTTAAAACATTTTTTCTGTTCACACATGTTTCGGTACATAATGGTCTCATGCATCCTGAGGAATTTATACATGTACATAACACATTTTAATTCAATTTTGTCCCCTTCCCCACCCCTCTCTCTAACACTTTTCCCCCTCCACATTTGCAAAATCTGTTTCCATTTTTCCTTCAACTATTTTTAAGATCCTGTTTCCTTTCCTTCCTTGTCTCCTTCCCTATCTCTTGTTCCCTTTCGCATTTGAAAAAGATTTTCCTATATCCTAATACATATCCTCTATTTTATGTGCTTTTGACTATTATATGCAAAGGGTAAAATGGTTGTAGGGAGCAGAGCAGGGGATAGGGACGAAAAGTACAACTCCATTCAGAGATTTCTAGATGGTGTCAGGGATCTGTGTGGGCCACAGTGCACCTCAAGTGGACTCTCATTCTATGTGAAGGACCTATTTCCTCTTCCTTCACTGACAAACAGCCAGGAAGGGAATGTTCATTTCTTATAGATTGGACCATGGTACAGCCTCATCTTTCAATTTTTTTTCAGAATTAGATCCTTCTCCTATAACCCGTTCTGAGTCTACCACATAGTTCATAATGGTGTCCCCTTGAAATTACACCAGGAACCATGTCAGAAAGCTAAACTACAAGTTCCTTTTTACTCTCTTTGGCTAAAGGATTCCCTTTGCATGTAGTCACTTCAGGTGCTGAAACAGGTAGGAACATAGTCCCTTGGGTGAAGATGATCTTGGCATGTTTTTTTTTTCGTTGGTAACGGGGATCAAACTTAGGACCTTGTGCTTTCGAGACAGGCAGCGGCGCCACTGAGCTAAATCCCCAGCCCTACTGGCATGCTTTTAACCCCACCAGACAAACTGTCTAGAAGTCTGATTAAATCAAACTAACTTCTTCCAGGAAGAAACAAATACACAGATAACTGGAGTTCAAACACTGGAGGTCAATGAGCCAAAATATTCGATAGCAATGGAAGAGCATTTTTTCTTAAATCTGTCATAAATCAGTAGTAAAACACTGTATATTTTAGCTACCTGATGAAAAATTTGATTTGTTTGAAAGAGGAAATAAGAAAAAGTATAGATTTTTCCATAGTGTAGATTTTTCATGATGTGAAAAAAGCAAAAAAGCATGCAGAAAACATTCTTGCTTATTTTCTGAATTGTAGTTAATCACTCACAAAGTATCAGCTTATTAATATGGAAGATTAAATAAAAATATATACACAAAAATCTTTCTTAAATTAATAGGTATTCACTATTAAAAAGGATAAATTTTGAAAGAGGCAAGTTTTTCCTATGTTGGAAGCTGTGTTTTATTATAACCAGTCTGGAACAATAAATACTTACTCTTTGTAGCATCATTATTAAGTTATTCTTTTCTTTCACAAAATGATCTTGTTCTCTCTGAGCCTGCTGAACAATATGATTGGCTTGCTTTTTCAATGCAGAAATTTTCTCCTGGAAGAAAAAAGGTGATCACAGAAAGATGCACATTAGACATTCAAGACTGCCAGTCTTTCTTGGAAAAGGTAGAAAAGCTTTTTTTACCATTGTTAACAGTGACCATGTTTCACTTGTTGGTGGGAAGTCATTACTACTCAGAAACCATGAAGCATTTACTTTGACCTGCAAAGTTCAATGCTTTTCTTTTCTTTGTTTTCCCCCTTGATTTTTTCACTTTTTGATTTTTTGGCCTTTTTTCGAACTCGGGACCTTGCGCTTGTGAGGCAGGTGGTGAAACCACTGAGCTAGATCCCTGGCCCACACTTTTTGATTTTTTGAGACAGGGTCTTGCTATGTAGTCCAGGTTGGAGTTGAACTTGCTTTGTAACCCAGGCTGGCCTTGAACTTACAATCCTCCAGCTTCCTTGAGTCTGGGATACAGGCATGCATCATAATGCCTAGCTCTCAACATTTTTCTTTATATAAGGGCAATATAGTTCAAGTGATTTAAACTCTACTTTGAAGAACCCAGAAGTCAACAGGAAATCTTGCTTTAGACTATCAATTTATTTTTGACTATGTTGGGAGATGCCTGATGGGAAAAATCATTGGATTTCTTACTTAAACTGAGAGTTTAAGAAGTCACCTTCTCCGTCTTTCCTTCCCTCCATTTTATCCCTTAATTTTATCAGGTTAGTATGGAGTTCTGGGACGTGACACTAAATTCTGGAACAACAGCTGAATTCTGGGCTGGCCATCCAGGAGCTACAGGCTGAGTGGACTCTGTAAAATCGACATGGCATTCTCCTGGCCTTTTTCTAATGGTAACAAGTTATCAGCTCGCTTTGAGAATTACTGAGCCATGGAAACAAAATTCCAAAGTACATGTGGTTCACAGAATTATTCTCAGTTTACTTAGTGTGGTGATAAAAGAATATAATTTAAAGCAAGTATCTGAATTCCTGATTTCTATGACTTGGTTTTTACTTAAATGAAAAAATAGAGTATTTTTTTCATTAATGCACATACAGCATTATACAACAACAACTGTAACCTGTCTCAATTTATCTAATTCAGAACACCATTTGCTATCCTACATATGGCAGGCTCCATAGCTGTTAAATGTGATATGATTAAATACGTGAAAATATTCAGATACAAAAATAGATACACACCCCACATAACTATATGAATGATCGTTATGGGCACATAGTGAGGAGTAGGGCCGGGGATTTAGCTCAGTGGTTTTGCCGCCTGCTGTGCAAGCTCAAGGACCGGAGTTCGATCCCCAGTACCAAAAACAAAACAAAACAACAACAACAAAAAAACATAGTGAGGAGTATACTTTGATTTTTTCCACTAAACACCTGGCCAAAGTACCTTTCTAGTGACAATGTTTCGCTGGTATTCAGCCACTTCACGCAGCAGCTGCTGAGTCAAGTTCTCCTTTTCCTCATCCAGACGGCTCTCGTGTTCAAGCTGTTGGAATTCCAGGTCTTCAAAATGTTTGCTTTCAACATCCAACAGGTCAGCATCCTTTGAAGAACAGGAAGTGAAAACAAGACATGCCAGGATTGCTCTAAGCTTCTTAACTGAAGAAACAATCATGAAAAGCAGCCAGTCGCTAGCACTGGCCAGGGTTACAGTATGATGGAGTTCAATGCTAGAGCGGTGGCTGCAGGAGTGGGATGGAGTGGGCACTGTGGAGAGGGCAGCAAGAGCTTCCACAGCAGTTTCTGGCTGCTCTGTCTATATAGGAATTCTTACTCGGTGGCTTTAAGATGCACAGTGATATATAAAAATAATTCAATAAATAGCATAAATATTATCTATAGAACAAAGATATAGGCTCTTAAGAAAATTCCTCTTTCCCACAATTTTCATATGAAATATGAAATGAAACTTTAGTATAGAGATTAAAGATTCAAAATTTAGCATATATATAAACCAGAGGTCTCTTAAGGGGATATATATACCCCAAATGTATACACATAACACAATCCAAGGGAATAAGAAGGGAAACCTATTAGACTTTCTCTATATATGTTTAGTTTTTATTTTCTTCCCTAAATTTCTTAATAAATGTCTTCTAATGTACATTCCAGTAGAATAGTATACATAATTTTCTTTGAGTATGGATGAAATAAATGTAATACAAATTGTCATTACATACAAAGGACATGCCTGCTCAAATAATTTTATTGAAGGAATAAACAATCAAAAACATTTAGACACAGTCTCTGGGTGATGCTGTGTATTAGAGGCTCAGCAACTGTAACCAATGTACCACTGTCATGGGGGATACATGCATGTGGGGCAGGGAGCATATGAGAAATCTCTGGTTCTGCTCATTTTGTTGAGAATCTAAAACTGCTCTTGAAAGAAAAAATCTACTAAAAACATTTGGAGATGGAAGTTTTTAAACTGTGCTTCTATAAGCCCATTAAAATTACAAATCTTTTTACTGGAAAGAATAGAGCCGAAGTTTTCTTCAGGCACAAAAGGTCACTCAAAAAGTTAAGCACCACTACTCTGAGAAGACTCTTGAGGACATTTAAAGAAAGTAAAGAAATTCTCCAAATCAGACAGTTTAAAAAGCCTTCTCCAACCCATGAGATATTTGGAGACAGGAATGCATTCATGCAAGAGTTGGTACACGTTATATAAATTATGCTCCAAATCACTTTTTTAAAAACTCACCTTTTTAATTTTGGAGCCTCTGCCAGAATTACATATATGGTACCATAAAATAATTTTAAATTGTAATTTACAAATGATCTATTACCAAAATAAAAAGTCAGTTGGGCAACGTAGCTAACAATTTCTACATTGCTAAGAGTCAAGGCATTTTGTTGCTGCTCAGTTAAACCCTCAAAGACTATTAGAAAAATAATAATATGACAAATTAGCTCTACTCTTTAACTCCACCCTCTTCTGATTTTTATTCTATGAATAATTAAAGTTTTTACTGAAATGGAACATATCTCTATCTTCATCAGTGAATCATACTCTAGGGATGATTCAGAGAGGGCCTGTTAGCTACCATGCAATATCAATCAACATTATAGCCCAAGATTATTATGTTAAGATAGACTAGACTCTTACACTTTAAAAGCAGAAAAAACATAATTTGAAAAACCTATTCATTTCTTAAAATATCTTTACATTTTATTTGGCTTAAAAAAAAAGTGTGGTCTTGATTTTATGCTTTTAGCTGGTATTTCCAGTTTATCAAATATTTCGAGTTTGTAATTTCTAAGAATTAATTCACTAGAGGAATTAAGAAACTAAGAGATAAGTGTTGTATCTTGAAACAAAATTATCTGCAGTCTTGAAATAATGTACCAGCCAATGTATTCATTCACACAGGCATACACACTCAAGTTTCAAGGTTTTTCAATTAAGCTTAGTTTGTGGTTAAAGATTAAGAAAAAAATTAAGCCCCTTTTGGCTTTTAAATAATCTTCACCCAGTTTGAGCATATGGCTCCTAATATACACATATTCACTATGCTGGTCCATTGTTTACTGTATATCTGGTTAATATACAACGTGTTATTTTAACCCTGTGTGAAGGTCAGAGAGTCAGCAATTTACTTGTGGTAAATATTTAAACCACTGAATGAAAATAATAGCACACTAGGGAGAAAAGCTGAAAATTAAGCTAAGCTCACTACTCAAGATTTTGCTGGTATAATCATCAGATCAAGCCATCTAAACCATTAAAATATGTGTATATAAACTAGCGCTCTGAAAGAAAAGCTATCTAAGGGGGATAAAACTTTTAAAAGATTTTAGATAAGGATAAGAATTCAGGGAATGGAATTTGGGGACAGAAGTAGCTTAAGTGAGGCAATATATACAGGAAGCTCAAAGTCAAATACACTGACCAACTGAGTGGATTTTAACTAAACTCACTCATTAAGAGAACAGTGCATATCTCTACTGATTGGTAAGCTCAAAAGCCAAGCATAAAACAAAACAAAACAAAATAGTGGCACTAAAAATATTCTACGCAATTTTTTTTCTTTCTGCCAACTTTGTTGAAAATTTATAAGGCAGAAGTTTACATGCAGATCTTTATATTTTCTTTGCCAAATGGAGGGACAAAAAGTAGAGAATAGATGTATTAGGGCCAGTAGTGATTGTGGAAATAATATCACGATGGTTTAAGGCCAACTGTGGAAGTAAATGTAGATGAGACTCCAGATTTGTTAACTTTTCTCCATCTTTTGCTTCATAGTCAAACAATGTATGCTTTTGAAATATGGAACAAAATAATTATACAGCCTCCAGTTTTATACATGAGGATATTGAGGCCCGTAGAAGTTGAATCACTTTTCCAAGACTAAAAGATAAACTGATTTCAGAGCCAGTGATATAAAAATGGTCTCTTCATTCTGAATATCACTTCATATATATATATATTTTTAAATCAAGAGATCTAAATCAACAATTCATTTGAGCACATATCAAAAGCAAAGGAAAACTACCCGAGCCAGGTACCGGTCTTCTCTACTTAACACTGGACCGTATCCTAGCAAATGAAAGACAAAGTTCAGCTTCTTTTTCCACACTGCTAGAATGCCAGGATTGGTGAGTCCATACTAACTACACAATAATCATAAGTCATGAAGTTAGCATCAGCTAAAAACTATAGATTCTAAAGAAATAAATGATGTAGATGTAAGAAGTCCAGCCATAAGAATATAACATTTTATGCAAAAGATCATCACATAATTTCAGCCTAAGTATTTAGAATAATATGAAGTTTATGAAAATGATTTTCTTCTTGTTCATTTATTTTTTATATGATTTTCCACCTAATGAGATTAAATTTAATAAAATAAATTTCTATCAAATCTACTTTAAATGCTTTCAGGAAAACTTTGTAATGAAGTGGTACTGGGAAGTGTTGAAATCTGAAGAGAAACGAATTAAGACAACACATAAAGTTCCTGGTATGAATGGACTTCTTATGAATTTTTACTTATTAAGCCAAAGGATTGGTACAGAGTTACACTGGTCATCATCCCCGGAAAATAGAGGTAGTAGATATTTTATTATCAGATGGGTAGAAGCTACAATAATCCTTTCATCTCTGCTATGGAAAGGGGTTTTATGATAAGAATTTTACACGCTGCTTCAAGAGGAAGGTGAAGGAGTCTGCCTTCATTCAATGGAGCAGACGGTCTGCCACATTTCCTTGCCTACTTTATAGTCAAAATCCTTAGAGCATATATAAATTTATGAGTTTTTCAATAGAATACAGATCATGCAAATAGAAAATATTTATATCAACTTGAGTCCAGGTTATTAACAGACTCTCCTGACTTTGTCTTTTGAAACAATGTTCATAAAGAACACAAACAATTAATGAATAACCAGAGAAAAACTAGAAGAAAATATATAACCATGATGATGACTGTGTAAAATCACAATAAGGCAGACTGAAAACAGTGAACAAATATAAAATCTATGCCAGGCATGGTGGTGCATGCCCGTAGTTCCAGCACTCAGGAGGCAAAGGCAGGTGGATTGTGGAGAGTTGGAGGCCAGCCTGGGCTATACAGCAAGATCCTATCTCAAAAAGCAAAAATATTTATATATATATTGATATTCCAGTCTTCCCATCTCTTATGAACCAGTATAAACACAATTATAAACTAGAATAATTTAACAAATACTAGTATTTTCCCAATCATTTGTATCACAAAATTTCCACAGATTTATGACACCAAGAAATAGGAAATTTTATCTTCCTACAGCAAATTCAGCTTTACTGAATGAAAATGAATAAAAAGGAAGACATACTGCTGAAACTTTCTTTGCCTCAATAGTCTAAGAAATAAGCATTAAATTGTTATGCTGCCATTTAACCTGCCTGCACTGCAGACTCTTCACTAGTATGCTCTCAAGCTTGCCACTATACTTGTTTTAACTGTAATTCTTTACTATCTAGTGATGCACTCAGAGGCATCAATTATTTTTATATGAAAAATTTTCAAGTTTGTTATCTTAACTGACTTTTCAACCTGCTCATTCCTTAGACGGTACAGACAAAACATGAATGAAACTAGCCTTGTTGATTGATGTGAAATCATAAATAGTTACTCACTCAGGACAAATTACTATTGCACGATTCCTTCAGAGGTTGAAGACTACTAATGACTGATACCCTGGGATCACAACTGGTTATAGGGAAAAATTCAGTTGTCAAGAGGCTATGAAAGATTACGTGATTGAATCAGTGTCTGTTAAATTATCCACACATGAAGTCTCCTTTCAGAAGATAACCAGCATGGCTGGTTAGGAGATAGGAGAATAACCAGATAGATTTTAATTAGAAGGTATATGCTGCAATAAGCTTTTAAAATTTAGGATGTTGATACGAGAAGATGTTGAGGGCATTCATGATGCCCTGCTTCTTGGATCTCAATGTTTGCCTGTTGTAATCACACTCATGACTTCTATGTCACTAAGCAGCAGAAAGAGAAAAGAAAAAAACAAAAAAACCAGTGAGTGATAATGGAGGGCAAATCAGAGAACAGGATAATGTTTTGGAAAAGAATAAAAAGTCAAGCTAAGGAAAAATAATTCAAGGGCAACTAGTACTTACAACACAGCAAAGACTACAAGGAAAGGTGTCAGTTGATTTACATGTACAACCTTAGTGTCTGTTACAAGTCTTACTTCTAAAGAACAAATGTTTTGCATTATAAGTTAGGGGAAGCATTCTAATAAGGAATGTTTAACTGATTAGCATAGAATAATGTATACTATTAGCATCCATATTTCTATTTAAAAAGACTAACGACTAGAACTTATGCAAACTTATGTTATGTGAAGTAGCAAGTCACAGGTACATGGAACTTAATAAAAAACAAACAAAACAAAAAGAAAAAGAACTGGTGCATTCCTGTTTGCTACTGACCCTCTTCAGTTGTTGCTGTAACTGTTCCCTCATGGACTCAGGACAATTGTCCAGCTGGGTCTTCTGCTCGGAGTAAAGCTCCTGAAGCCTCTCTAGTTTTTCCCTTTCAGCATCAAGCTTTACCTTTTCCTGAAGTTCAGAAATCAGAAAATAGAAGAATAGAAATTACCTTTCACACCCAGGCAGGTGCTAATGAACATTTCCAAAGGATAACACAAACATACACAAATTCTATACGTGCTACAAATACAGAAAAACAACTGATTAGTGATTAGGTTAAAGAGATATAAATGGAGGTTAAGACAAGGAGGTCTAGAGTCCGCATTCCAAAATTGTTTACTTCATTGGGTATGACAATTACTCGCCCTTCCTTCTTTCCATCCTTCTTGCCACCATGTTACAAAGGCAGGAGAAGCAATGGTAAGACTGAATATTGGTCAATGGCTAAGAACACCACCAACAACAAATGCCAATCAAATTCATAAGTTAACCTTGAAAAGTCACTTGTTAGAGAACCAAACAAAGGAAAAGGGGTATTTATTTACCTTGAAGTACTATCATGGTCCAATTTCCTTGAGGCCCTTGCTAAGACAGCTTTGAAAATTACTGAAATTATTGAAATTTGTTCTCAGGTCAGAGGCACTTTGGTGCACTAGTCATCTACCAATATCCAAGTCATTTCAAATGGTTCTAGCTATTTGGAATGCTTCAGAGTCTAAGCAATTAATACAATTTTATTCCAGAGAGAGCTTTAATTCAGAGGCTAAAAAAGCTAAAACAAATGCAGTACTGACAAAGTAGCAAGGAAAAAAGTAGATCAGGGAGCTCAGATACACCAAAATTGTGACATTGTGAAACACGGATTCACAGTCAATGACATAAAAAAAACTAACTGAAACGTAAGTGTGAAACATAGAAAAGATACCCAGGAGCCACAAAACAGAAGAGAAAGAATATAATATTAAATCCTTCCCAAGTCACATATGCCAAAGTGACCCCAGATATTTTCCAGGATGTAAGAGGTAAAATAATGTAACAGTCTTCTCAACTTTTGGTCATTTTATGATGGTCTGAACATTTTAAGCAAATTTTAGTCATAATTTCCTAAAATCATGTGCAATGCTTTTAGCATAAAGAAAATATTTTATGAAGCTCTACGATGATTTGATCTTCACTAAGTAAAACTGTCACCATCTTACTTTCCTTTGTTCCCCCTATGTAAATTGGTAGAAATAAAACTACTTAATCCTAAGAACATTACAGAAGGACTTTTTTAAAAGGATGAATCTCTGAAATAGTGAAATAAAGTCATCCTTACTATAATTTCTTTATCCAAATGGCCATGATTTCCTGTATGAACAGATGGTTGACAAAAAATGTTATTGTTCAATCTAAAACTCTATGACATCAATGTCTACAGTAGGTCATTTGAGTCTTCATGTTTGATTTAATTTTTAAATTTCAAGAGTATTTTTGAAATGTATATACATGTTATTTTTTCCTCAAAATAATTAAAGCCAGACATCATAGGCTTGAGAATATCACTTCATATAACAATATAAAATGATTCTACAATAACTTAAACCTTAACAGTCTACAAGTAAAGTTTTTTAGTTTTTAACAGTGAGTCTGTTCACTGTGCATATCTATAGAGCAAGAGTTGCAGAAAGCACATTAACAGAAAAAAGAATTCTCGGGTGTTAATCCATAGTAAGACTGAATATACTAGTACCTACTAGATTTGGTCGTTAGTTTCAGATTTAATGTTTTTCTTTTAATGAAACAAGCAATACATAAGAAAATGTGTTATTTCCTGCGTGTGGATCAAAAATACCCAATTTACACAGAATTTTATCCCAAACAAGTTCTATTCCTAGATATTGTATCATCAGACTTCCAAAAACTCTAGCTCTGAACAAAAAGTAAAAAAAAAAAATTACTGAATGCAATTAAATAACACATGTGTAAAGTCCTAAAACTTAAAGTTATTTGTGACAGAATACTAGTACACTATTAGATAATATGAAAGCCCCTGACCTAAAACACAGGTCCCAAAAAAGAAAAGTACCAAACTATTACTCCAATGTACTTAATTTTTAAAATTGCAATAATAAATAAAAATAAACAAGTAGTAAATAATACCTCATGTTTACACAGTGCCTTCCTTCTGAGATGCTCAAAACGTTTCACAATTCCATACAAAGGGGCAGTTAAAAGAATTATGCAAGCAGGCACCATTTGAGCCTTCGGCAGCTTCTCTGTGGTTCACTGGTAATGCTATGACCACTACTGGTTCTCAGAGCAAAAGCCGAGTGGGGCCAAAGCCAGGGCAAAGGAAGTGTGAGGGGAAGGAAGAAGACCAGTAGCAGGTGGACCATGGCATAAATCACAGAGAACCGCAGAGGTGAGAGCACTCTTGTGAGAGCCAGGAGTAGAACAGCTTTGAGCCAAAAAGAAATTAATATTCGCCTCTTCTATTCATTGCCAGGAAGTTTTCAAAGGAAAATTAGCCAGAGGCAAGTATTTAATTAGAGCCCAATGCATCCACCTTCTACAGTGAAGTTAAAATAGATGGGAGAAGGTAGAAGGCATTTGAGAGTTCAGGGATTCTTGCTTTTTACATGAGAAACTTTAAAACTGAATGTTATTCTCTTTCTCCAAATTAAAACTGGTAAACTCATTTAGTATAACTATTATGGACACAATGACATTTTCCAAACTCCAAAGGAGGAGGCAGTATAATGTCTATTTTAAGGATCAAAACTCTATTTTTAAGAAATGAAGTTAAATATATTTTTAGTAAACTTAATAAATTCCACTTCACTGAAAAAACACAATCAAGGGAACTGGAATACTCTAGTGAAATCCACATGTACACAGGGACATTTATAAAACAAAGAACAGGATAGAACTTTCTAAGAGACAATGTGCTTCTATTAGCATTGCTCTGACACTGACTCCAAGTCGAGCTGGAGCACAAATTCATTGCCAGATTCTACCTTCTACATTTAAGGCTGATGTCCCTAAAGTTTCACATTCATAAAAGGACGATGATAAATTAAGCATGGGTAAATTATGGTGGAAATCCATCAGTATATAAAATTAGACCTACACAGTTGTCTTACACCAGCTTGCAGGGATTGGTTCTGGGACATTCAAGGATTCCAAAACCCATGTATGTTCAAGTCCTATGTATAAAATGGCATTGTATTTACCTGTACTATGCTCACCCTTTTGTATACTTTAAATCATTTCTAGGCTATAACAATGTAAACACTATGCAAACAGTTGTTACACTCTATTATTTAGAGGGTAATAACAAGAAAAAGTTCCCTACATGGTCACTGCAGATGTAATTTTTTTCAATATTTTCATTCCTTAATTGAATCCACGGATATGGAACCTGAGGATACAGATGGCCAGCTGCTTTGGCCTTTCTAGTTGTTTGTTCATTCAATACTCAATAAAAATTAAAAGAGGACTACAGGTAAAAAAAGACGAACAAGAGAACTAAATCACTTTCCTTGTGCGCCAAGTTCTTTAGCTCTGTGGTTCCCAGCCCTGACTACACATTAGAATAAACTGAGTGAAGTTTACCCTAAGCAATCTGAATTGCCAATACTGTATGCTACTTTGAAAATAATGATACACAGTGTATTAACTATTACTATTCTCATATTTTTTTATTATATAATTTTGAGGGGGTTTTGTAAAATTTAAAAAATCAAAAGCTTATCACAGGACTACTTAATTTGCTAGATTTGTATTAGAAAACGGTAACATAAGTTTTCTCTCTTAGTTGTATTTTTGAAGGAAGAAAATAACATTTAACTTGCTGGCTATCTTTGATATTAACACTATACAAAAAAATTCTTGAATTCTAATGAAAAAAATCCTTTCAACATATCTAAGCATAAAATATTTAATAAGCACATGGTTCACAGTTACCCTGAAAAATGCTTAATTTGTTAGCTTGTAAGGCTGCCAGATAAAAATAGACTATCCATTTAAATTTGTATTTCAGACAAACAACAAATGATTTTTTAAATGTAAGTTGTTCCAAATATTGCTTAGGACATAAATACATTTAAAAGCTTATTCTCTCTTTACCTGAAATTCAAATGCAGCTGAGCTTTCTATATTTCATTTGCTAAATCTAGCAACTCTATCGGCTTGTTGAAAATTTTCTTAAACATTAAAATCTATCTTTGTAATTTCCAAAGTGTTTAACTCAGAACCCACCCCACTCTCAGCACCCAGGCCACAATTCATGGAACTCTGGCTCAGGTTTGAATTGATGTAGCAATGAATTAAATTCTCTAGTCCATAAGTCACCATTTTTAGGGGAGAGCCACCAAAGTCCTCTTCATTTACTCTGAGAGTCCTTTTCATTTTGATTTCTAAAACCTTTGGTATTCTTTAGGCGGCATCTTCATAGGTTCATAAATTAGTGAACTATTTTAGATCTAGAATTTTTTTCCCAGTGCTGCAGACTGAACTCAGGCCCTCACACATGATAGGCAGGCACTTTACCACTGAGCAACACCCCCAGCCTAGAAATTCCTTTTGTAACAGCCTGATTTGATTGAAATATAGTTGACATACAAATAAACTGCATGTTTTTAATTTATTCATATTTAGGATTTTAGACATATGCATATACCATGATACTATTTAAGGCCAGAAGTTTTTCAGATTTCATGGTATTTTGAATTTTATGCCATAGTACAGTTTATACAGCACATATTGTATGGCATTTCCAGTGAGGTTGGGGCAATACCCTCTAATCAAACATATTGCTACTTATCTGTAGCTATAGGTATGAATGCTCAACTTTACAAAGGATACTTTTCCACCCCAAAACTTCAAATTTTGGAACCACAAAGATTACAGACCTGTATCAATGACTGGTGACTGTAAAGAACCCATAGTCTGCCTCTGAGGTACATCCTTATATTTCTTTCTGAGGATATTTTCCCAGGGCTTTGACATTTAAATATGCAATTGATGTATGTTTAGTGTGGAAAAGTTGGCAAATCAGAACATTGAGGGCTTATATAATCAAAAAATCACCAGAAATATAACCTTCTATCTGTAATCCTGCTGATATAATCCCCAAATCCCATGAT